ACAATAAGACGATAGCAAGACAAACATCCATCATTTAGGAAGAGACGAGGAAGTTGAGGCACCATCCGCAGCATCATCCCCTTGAGGAGGTGTATACTGAATCTCAGTAAAACTAGGACCGAAAGGAGTCACATGAAATACCATGTCTCCTTCCTTTTTGAACACGAGAATGTCACCGATGCAAAGGGAGTGTGCTTGGACGAAGGCTTCCCAACCATCGGTGAGTCTTCCTCCTTCTTGTATAACTTCCCAAGTTTGGTGTGAAGCGTCCGATCGTAATGTCCATTTTTCTTGGTTCGGCGTACCTTCTATGTGTTTTGCGTAGAAGGCAAGTGGTATTGTCTACAAGTCAGCAAAGGAGAAGATAAGCAAAGGAAATAAACAGAGGAGAAATAGAGAGCGTGTGTATACCACGCCACTGTAGAAACCAGGAAGCAGAGGCTTCAAGAAGTGAGGTTCATGATGATTCGCCATCTGCAAACAAGAAACGAATTGGAAACATTTTAATTCTATGTCGTCTGGGTCGTCCACCTTGTAGACTTATAATTAAGTCGTCTGGAATGTCTTCTAGGTGGAAGACTTTCCAGACGACTTAATTATAAGTCTACCAAGACTTCCAGTAGAAAATTTGAAAGCTGATTTGTGGTCTAGTTAGGTTGGATGTTGTTCTCCTCTCATTCGTCTGGTCAGCTTTAAAATGTTCTAATGGATGTCTTGGTAGACTTATAATTAAGTCGTCTGGAAAGTCTTCCAAGTGGACGACCCTAATTTGAAATGAAAATATCCACAAATTGCTTGAAATCACAAATAGTAACCGTAAAATGAGAGGAAAACAACATTCAACCTAACTAAACAACAAGTCAATTGAAATCCCCAATTTTTGAAACCCTACTTTGAAACCAAAATTTCCCCAAATCGTTGAAATCACAAAACCAAACGGTAAAAGTAAAGGAAAACAACATTCATCCTAATAAAAACCCATAAATCTGCAAGAGAAGCCTTCGATTTACCTTGGTCTTGTATCGGATCGAAATCGCCTCGAAATCACCTTCGAGAGAAACAGCATAAGGGTTTTCTGAGTTTCGCGAAAAAGTGAGTAAAAAAAAAAACATCTTATATATGTCCGGTAAAATACGGTTAGGTTTAAAAGTAATTTGGTAAAATCCGGTTTGGACGACTTATAATTAAGTCGTCTGTTGATACTATACATCCGAATAAGTCGTCTGCCTTATTAAATTAAGTCGTCCAAACCCTAAACCCTAAACCCTAAACTAAATTGACTAAATTAACTACTAACCATGTTATAAAATCAAATTATACTTAAATAGTGTTTACTATACACAGAAATAAACACACTTAGGTAAATTTTAAATTTTTCAAAAAAACATTTATGCTTTCAAATTTCTAACCCTAAGAAACACATACAATACTACAACATATGTTGGTGAAACCTAAACTAAGGAATATCATCACTCGCTACTTTCACTCATCTATGCTGAAAACAACTGACTTTTTTTATATCTTAATTTATATCGCTTAAGACATATGTTAATTACATAATCCCAATTTTTCATTTATCAAGATATTTATTACACAATTTTTAAATTATTTTTAAGAAAAATTGTCCCAGACGACTTTCAATTAAGTCGTCTGGACGACTTAGTTTAAAGTTGTCTGGGCAGCTGTCCCAGACGACTTGCGAGAGCTAGAAACGTAAAAAAAAAGATTTTTTTTTTGTTTGTTCACAAGGGGTTGGTTGTAATTTCAACAGCCTTTTAAGTTAGTTTTGCATTTGATTCAAGTTTGAGTTTACTTTTGCATTTCAAATCAAGTTTTGAGTCATATTTGGCAGTTTTCCCTAATTCTATGTATTATATAGTTATCTTGAAAATATATTTTTCTCCGATAGAGATGAAAAATTAAGATATGAAAATTCTAATTAAATATAAATAAAGCAATGATGATTTGTAAAAAAATTTCATGATTTTAGGTTATTTTACTTATTTTTCATGTTTTAATAATTTCATTATAATACAAATGAATTTATGTTAATAATGTTATATTTTTATAAAATAAACTTATTTTTATGTATTTTATTGTTATTTTGAAAATATATTCTTTATCAAAAAAATTAAGTGAAATTGTTGATTTTTAGCTTCTCCATGATTTATGTGATTTTATTTATTTATCATGGTTTTAATAATTTTATATATAATTTATTATATAATAAAAAGAATTTCTATTAATAATATTATATTTTTAGAAAATAAGATATTTCTTATGTATTATATTGTTATATTGAAAATATATTTTCTATTAACAAAAGATTAAGATATAAAATTATAGTTAAATATAAATTAAACAAAACATTTATCTATATATTTTTAAAAAATTATTATACTATATGAGTGTTGTCATTTATAACTAATTTTAAGAACATATTATTTTATTATGTTTTTTGAAATAATAAAATATAAATTAATAAGTATTTGTTGGAAAAATATACCCGTCTGTACGGGCAAAACATTTAGATTTTAGTAAAAGTTAACGTCGTAAATATATCTGTATCTTTTTTAAAAATATATTTTTTTAGTTTTTCCTAAATTGTTGCATTTTCTTAATTTTATAAAAAAAATATTTATTTTCGTAATTATCAAATAAATATATAAATAATAACTAAAATTAGTTTATTGATATTGTTTATGAAAATGTCTTACCCTTGTATCAATTTTGTTTTCCAGAAAACACATTTGAAGTTTGATATGATGAAACTTCCAGTTTGATTGTTAAGTGTTAGTGAAAAAAATCTTAATTTTTAAGTTAAATATTAAATTGCATGTATGTTTCATTTTGAAGGTTAAAAATAAGATTTTTTTTATTTAATAAAAGATTAAGTAGAGACTTAATTTCTAATCTGCTTCAATTATTTTTTCAGTCTGACTACAATATTATGTTATTTATTAATAAGTTCTGATTGTTTATAATTGTTTGGTTTATAGATTAAATTGACCATCTTTAAATATGGTGCTTATTAGCGTTGGGCATTTTAATTATTAAATTTGATATGATCTGTTATTCGTTTTGACTCGATTCAGAAAATTTAGATATCTATAAAATTTCAAATCAGAGCAAATAACAAAATATAATATCCGTAAAAATGAAGCAAATCATAAATGTTATAGATATGTTTTAGAAAGTTGGATATCCGATCCAATTCGTATATTTATAGATATGTAATGTAATTGTATATACAAACCATTATATCTACAAATTTTATAACATAATCTGATTATTTTTTTCTATTTTAAGTTGTTTTCAAATTTTTGTTGTGGGCTATTACATATCCAATTTAATTATTATGCTGAGTCAAATGTTAACATATCAGCTTTCTTATTATGTTTGTTAATATATAATTTTTTTTGTTTTTTTACAAATTTTTGTTAAAGATGTTAGTATATTTTTATTTTATTATAACATTATGAAAGTTTGTTTATTTAATATTAATGTTGTATATTGTTTTTATTTTTTTAAATAAAATTTACAGATCCAACAGACTAGGTTACGAATATTTAAAAGAACTTTGAGTATTCAAAATTTTTAATATCAAAATAAATCACAAATATAAATATTTGGGCATAATGGATTTATATATATTACGAATTTTTCGGAAATCTGTGTCTCTCTCTGCCTAATGCTTACGACGTTGTGGATCAAAAGGCCACAAAATTTTCACTCCTTAACAAAAATATAACTTTTCCATTATTATTATTGGAAATAATGATTTTCCATTATTGATGACTACACCAGTATTATTCTTATTGCTGTTTTCTCGCACAATGCCGTTTTCTAGCATATATTTTTAGCCTTAAATACTACACCATACCGTTTGGGAAACTAGAGAACATCATCGATCAAAACGAAAAAGATGTTCAACTCCAAAGCCGATAAGCCACCCAGAAAATACAGAATCAGTCGTCGTCAGCCGCCGTCGCTTTCTTCACTGCCTGACGAAATCGTTGTTAAATGCTTAGCCCTTGTCCCAAGAAGCTATCACCTAAGCCTTTCATGGGTCTCAAAAAACATAAGATCCCTTGTCCGCTCGTCTGAGTTCGAAGGATTACGATCCATCCCTCACAAGAGCTCTCTCTATGTATGTTTCCAAGAAGACGACATAACCTCCCATTGGTTCACTCTCCGTCCAACCGAGGAAACAGCAACCACGGGGACAGAGTATCGGTTAGTTCCAAACCCTATTCCCTTCTCGCCTCATAAGTACGGTTCTTCAACCGTCGTAGTGGGATCAAATATCTACTTCATCGGTGGAGGTGGATCGAGACAACCTTCCACGGATCTATGGATCCTCGATACACAATCTGGGAACATCACTCAAGGACCAAGCATGAGCGTGCCTCGAGAAAAAGCCGAAGCAGCGGTGGGAGTGATCGACGGGAAGATTTACGTCATCGGAGGCGGAGTCTCAGACTACGAAAGGTTTCACGAAGAGATCCAAGTAGAAGTATATGATCTGAAATCCGAAACTTGGAAGCTTGCGGGGATGGAGAAAGTGCGTAAAACCTCACGGTGTAGCGCCGCGGTGGAGCGGAAGATCTATATGGTGGAGTTCGAGGAGATTAATGTGTACAACCCGAGAAAATGTGAAAGAAAACGTTTGGCTCTTATGGTAAGCCAGAGACTCGAGAAAGGTGGAAGAAAAGATATGTTAAGTGATACAGAGCTTTGCGTGTGTGTGGTGGAAGATGTTCTCTATGCTTTCTTTGACCGGAGTGGGATCATGTGGTTTAATACAAAGCTCAATGTGTGGAGGAGATTGTTGGGTCCTGATGGGGAGGAACTACCTTTTATCTTACATGCGGAGGCGATGGCGGAATACGACGATGGGAAGCTTGTGGTTTTTTACATTTTGCGTGACAAGGATGTTCGGTGTATGTTGGTCTCGCTGCATAGAGCTGGAGACATGATTTGTGGGACGGTCGATTGGTCTGGTTCTGTGGGTACAGTCCCATATTCATCTAATTTTCTGCATTGTTTAGCTGTTTCCAATTGATTAGTATGTGTCCTTGTCTGCTTCTTGTAACACTCATGGGTGGTTACTTAAGAAATTGGAAGTTCATTATTATTATTTTTTTCTCTTTGGGTTTTTTTTTGTGGAATGAAAAAGCGAATGCATCAGAATCAGATTGTGGTATTGTTCTTGGCGGCTTCTTCTTGATTCTCTATTTAAGAAATTTTACTCTTTTTTAGTGTCAGACAAAACATATTTGTTAGGGTTAAGTTACTGTTGTCATCCCACGATAAGCCAGGAACGAGTTTAAAGAGATTTTTGGTAAGTTTCTCGATGAAGTTTTGGGCGAGTTTTGTTGTGTCCGACGAGCTTCCAGACGAGTTTCTGGCATGCTTTAATGAGTTTTTCGCGAATTTCCGATAGAGTTTTTACAAGTTTTCCTCAATGTTTGGTGAGCCTTCTTGTAACTCTATATATTAAAACATGTCAGAAACTCGTCTGGAATGTTTTACATTGTAAGTTTATACATTTAACGTTTACATTGGACATATAGGATAAAAGTGATTAATCCTACATGTCCAATGTAAAACGTTAAATATCTAAAATATACTGAGGACACTTGCACGTATAGTGCTTAAGGTGTCTTCTTTCGCTCCAGGTCCCCTTCTCTTATATGGCCATTATTTTGTTTGTTTAGCTTTGGCTTGACATCTGAGTCAACTAGTAAAGATAAACTCAAAAAAGTTGAAACAAAATAGGAGGTGTGTAAGCATACATATTAGCGTTTTTAAAAAGTATTGTTAAGGAGGTCTTTGTAGATATCCAAAAGAGTTGAGCTGGGGCAAAAAAAAAACTTACCTAGCACACATGCTGAGTTTCAGGACTGTATGAACACACATGCTAGAGTGGATTAAGAAGTGAGCAAGGACGGTAAAATCATGGTTAACTTCGTTGCAAATAGATTTGTCAAAGTTTGGTCAGGAATTTTATTTGTGTGGAAGTAAAACCCATCCGTTCAGCGTTCTAAGAGTGTATGTGTTGAATACAGGAAAAGAACAAAGATTGATTGAGTAACGAAGAAGACAAAAAGGGATGAATGGAATGGAGGCCCAAGTCCGAGTAGAAGCCCATCAATAAAGAAAAGCTTTCTTCAACTTATCTTACATCAACAGTCACCTAAACAAGAAGACAAAAACAGAGAGGAACTAATGGAAAAAGCTGCAGGTACGAAAAAAGCTTAACTCAATCGCAACCACAAAACAGATTTTGCTACTCCCTCTCAAGAGGATTTGGATCATGCCATCTGTCTTCTCTACTTTAGGGTTGTGGGAGATGGATTATACTCCTCCGCAAGGCCCATCGAATGGGAAAATTTAGCCCAACGCGATAACGTATTCGGCCATTAACCTTACTGGAAGCGACTTGGCATGACGACGCGTTTAGAAGCGAAACGAAGAGCGTCTCAAAAGGTTAAGCAAAAGACGGTTTACCCGGATACGCTAAACAGGCCCAACAGGAATAGAGTCCAGTAAGGCCCGGGCGAATTAGGGCGAACACACAGACGTGGTCTATATAAGCAAGGAGGCAGCAAAGAGAAAGTGGATCCGGAATTGGACATACTCACTTGGCGGCTAGATCTAGGGTTTTCTAGTGATTAAGTGGTTAGATCTAGGGTTTACTCACCCTCTCGTTTAGTCACCTCCCTGTTTAGTCACCTTCCCGTTTACTCACCATCTTGTACTTCCGGCTAGTCCGTCGATTTACTCTCTTCTTTGTAACTCCTTGTTCAGATCTAATAAAACGTCTTTGTTCGCCCTCATCTCTCTCTTTATATTGTTCAAACCACTTTCACCTCAAACAATTTGGCGCCCACCGTGGGGCTCTGAACAAAGCAACGTTATCAGATCTAGACATGCCTGACGACGGAACCGCCTCCGGAACCGCCGGCGAGGAGCCGACTCAGACTCCCGTGCCCGAAACTCCCCTTCCGCCCGACTTCATGAGCTCCGTCATGGCGCGCTTCGCCAGACAAGACGAAATCCAGAAGGAGACTCAAGCTCAACTCGCCGCGCTCGTAGCAGCGTTAACAGCAGCTCCCGCCGGGCAGACGAGTAACTCTCAGCCGTTCCGACGCCATCTCTTCAACACAAACCCTACAGCGCCGGTAGCCGACCATGCCTCCGAAGAGTCGGAACCCACCGAGCCGCATACCGCAGAAGCAGCTCCAGTCGGCCCAGATCTCACGACTGTCCGTGAAATCGCCGAGCTCAAACTGAACCTCCAACAGATGAGCTCCACGATTCACAAGGTGACCAGCGCTGCTCCACAAATCGAGAGTGTTCTTGCTTCAACCGAGCGTACTCCGTTCACCAGTACTTTGACTAGTGTAAACTTCCGAAAGATTGAGAAGCTGCGCGTCCCGCAGTACAAACCCGGCGGTGACCCTGTGGAGCATATGACTGCTTTCAACATCGCGATGGCTCGAGCACGACTTCCCGACGACGAAAGAGACGCCGCGTACTGTCAGCTGTTCGTGGAAACACTCCACGACCAAGCCTTGACCTGGTTCTCAGGTCTCAAGGAGAACTCCATCAGCAGTTTCAGAGAGCTTTCGTCGGCTTTCCTCAAGACTTACATCATGTTTACAAAGCGCGAAGCGACAGCCTCCAGCTTGTGGAACCTGAAGCAGACTAAAGACCAAAGTCTTCGAGACTTCATGGAGCGCTTCAAGTCGATCGTCTCAAAGATCGATATCCCAGACCATATAGCCGTCGACGCTCTCATGAACACCCTCCATCTTGATTCCAAGTTCCGAGAGGACCTATACCGAAGCACCTCTACAACGCTTCAAGATGCCATAGCCCGCTCACACAACTTCATCCGAATGGAGGAAGACACGAAAGCAATCATAGGCAAGCATAGCGCAGCAAAGCCGACAACGCCCAAGACTTCTGACGCAAAGCCGGAGCCGCGTCAACACGCTTCCGGCGACAAGAAACAACAAAAGAGCGGCCTTCTCTTTGTCGTCGACGAGAATAACACACCAGTCGCAAGCTTCTCAGTACGTGGCGAGCCATGGAACGTCTACAACCGAGAGACGGCGGCTCTAAAAGGTTTGGCTAGTCCTGCCGGACCGGCTCAACCAGCTTCGCCGGCTACCTCGGGAGCGGGATCTTCTAAAGGAGTCGACCTCACCAAACACTGCAAGTACCATGATGTCAAAGGACACGACACAACCGAATGTAGAACGATGTACGCTGAATTCCTCTCATCGGTTGAAAAGGGCGATTTCAAGGTTCAGCCTCCAAAGCAGAAAACTAAATCCGGCAAAAGTTGGTCTAAGAACAAAGATAAGCGCGCGCAGCGAAAGTCCGGCGGAAAGAGCGGAGAGCAGCGCCGTCCAGACGACAAACCTTCGGGTGCTGCCGACAACGAAGCCTCCTCGGGAGACGAAGGACAACCCGCAAGCCGTCAACGTATTGAAGTGATTCGGTCTCAGCAACCTTTGTCATCCGATGACGAGGATGACAACTCTCCCGAGTCAAGCGACCTACGAAGCTTCCTGAAGCGAAAGGGGACGACACGTGGTGACGTCAACAGCAAAGACCTCCGACTCAAACTCCAGGCCAACAAGTCGCGACGTCTGGAAACCAAGGAGCCTCCCTTGTCGATCGACAATCCGGTCACAGATCTGCGCGACAAACTCAATGCTAACCTGACCGATTTACGCGCGCGACTAAACCGTTCCAAATCAATGAATCAACGGCTAGAGCAGTCAACCTCATCCCATACCACGGATTTGTCAAATTGGAGCGGAGAGAACGTCCCAGCGGATCTCCGAACATTCTTAGATACCAAACGAGTAGTCACGAAACCACGGCTGAACGTCATCATGGGTGGATCACCCCCTTCTGGCGACTCTGTCCGCTCCGTCAAAGACTACAGGCGTCAAGCCGCGTCCTCGAGACACTGGCCTACGAAGCCACCGAGTCACGCGCCGATCAGCTTTACCCCCGAAGACTCGAACGGAGTCCACCTGCCCCATAACGACCCTCTGCTAGTCGTCCTTGAGATCGGTAAGTACGATGTGACCAAAGTACTGGTCGACACAGGAAGCTCGGTTGACCTAATCTTTCGCGATACGCTTGAGAAGATGGGGGTAGATTTCGACGATGTCAAGTCATCCTCACGGACCTTGACCGGCTTCAACGGCTCATCGGAAACCATTCTCGGTACGATCCGTCTCCCAGTCCGCGCTTGCGGAGTTACTCGAACGGTTAAATTCGCCGTGGTCAACACTAAAGCTCCTTATCACGTCATTCTCGGAACCCCATGGATACATTCGATGCAAGCAGTCCCATCAACCTACCACCAATGCATCAAGTTTCCTGGGGTAGACGGAACAATCAAGACCATCCGCGGCGATCAACAAGCCGCGCGAGACCTGCTAATTGCTACGGTTAAGCTGCAACGTTCATCATCCCTAGTCAACTCCGTCTCTCATCCGATCGCTCGAACCTTTCCTCGGAAAGACGAGGTTCTGGAGATGCCTGTAGATGATTCTGATCCAAGTAAGACGGTGCGCGTCGGTGCACATCTAACCGACGATATGCAGCGAGGATTACTCGAATTCCTGAAGAAAAACGTGTCCACCTTCGCTTGGTCCGTCACAGACATGAAGGGAATCGATCCAGCAATAACCACTCACGAGCTCAACGTCGATCCTACCTTCAAGCCTATCCGCCAGAAGCGACGTAAGTTGGGCCCGGAAAGAGCAAAAGCAGTGAACGAAGAAGTCGAACGACTACTTGGAGCCGGTTCAATCACAGAAGTTCGTTACCCGGAATGGCTAGCGAATCCCGTGGTGGTTAAGAAAAAGAACGGGAAATGGCGCGTGTGCGTCGACTTCACCGATCTCAACAAAGCTTGTCCGAAGGATAGTTACCCGTTACCCAGCATTGCCCGTCTCGTAGAATCAACCGCAGGAAATGAGATGCTCACCTTCATGGATGCGTTCTCGGGCTACAACCAGATCATGATGC